GCAGCGCCCCTGGCGGCCGGGGGAGCGAGCCACACGCGTGCGGCGCGGACATGGATCCAGGCGATGCCAAGAGACATTCACACGACACGTAGGGAGGTAGAACGCGTTCAAGAGCACTCCTACAGCACGTGCCAAGTGCATGCGACACAGGCATGCAACGTGTGCACTGCGTATTGGCGACGTGTGTGACAGATGCTTTGTCTTTTATTGGACTATCTACCCTTGCTGAATGGGACAAACTCAGAGCTTCTCAGCACTCTTTTTCAGAGCTGAGGCTCTGCAAAGCTGGACAACTTGTCTCTTCCCCCAGTAGATGTTGTCTCATCCAGCTTATGTCTCTCATATCTTGGAAGCCACATGGCAACAAGACTATTACAAACAATACATAACCCATGTAGCATACATGCAGCATGGCATCATAAAAGCCTTAGGCACACAACACACAATCAACATACAAAGCAATCACACACATATAATCACACATATGCTCAACACATGTTCACATATGCAATATGCACAGGGCTTGACAAACGGCGACGAAATCTACTCACCAGTCCCGCACTGCACAAGACCCACATTGCACATGCACGCACCACCGGTGAACGGGGCGACCGGCTGAAATCTACTCACTACGGGCGAGTACATTCACTGATTTGTCAAGCCCTGAATATGCACCTACTTCATGATCATGTGTGCAGCATGGAACACAGTCACAGGTGCAGTATGCCTGCTGCACATAGTTCTGTGTAAGATGTAGGGTCATGTGTGCAATGTATGCAGCAATCACACATGTAGTCATGTAATATATATGCCACATATAATATATATGTCTGGCTCTGGGCTCCATGCAGCACTGCTGTTTTGAAGCACCCCCCCCCCCTTCTTCACCAGCCTTGCTTCCTCTTTCTGATAGAGGCAGCAAGGGGTGGGGGAAGCAATTAGTCAACTAGTGTGTCGACTAGTTCTCATCCCTAATGGCAACATATGCATGCATATGACAATCTCACATGCAACATGCACTGACAGTGTTATTCACAACATGCATACAACAAAAAAGCAGTCATGTAGCACTTTAAAGACTAACAAAATAGTTTATTAGGGGATGAGCTTTTGTGGGTCAGACCCACTTCTTCAGATCATATTCTGAAAGTGAATAGGTATATGATCTGAAGACGTGGGTCTGCCCCACAAAAGCTCATCACCTAATAAACTATATTGTTAGTCTTTAAAGTGCTACATGACTGCTTTTTTGTTTGACGAAAATGAGACAAACATGGCTACCTCTCTGTGCATATGCATACAACAGTCTCACATTCAGCATGTGTGTCACATAGTCACATGTGCACCATTCATGTAACACATTACACATGACACAATCCTGTCTACAACAAAGTCATAGGTGTGATGTATATGCGTTACACTCACACATCTGACCCTTGACCCTGTCTGTAACATGTATGCCACAGCATCTCATGAAATGGGTCTTTGCCCATGAAAACTTATGACCAAATAAATCAATCTTTAAGGTGCCACAGGACTCCTTGCTGTTTTTGCAGATACAGACTAACACAGGTATCCCTCTCAGACTTCTGTATGTCACAGGTTAATCTTGGGGGAATTCTTTAATTATTGCATTTGGAGCCGTGGTAAAATTACAGAATTCCCCTAGGACTCACAGGGATTCAACACACACTTGTGAAACATAGAATCGCAGAATACTAGAACTGGAAGGTACCTTAAGGGTTATCAAGTTCAATCCCCTGCCTTGGCAAGACCAAGAACCATCTAGATCCTCCCTGTCAGATGTTCATCTGATCTGCTCTTAAATATCTCCAGTGACAGAGATTCCAAAACTTCCCTAGGCAATTTATTCCAGTGTGTAATCGCCGCTGACAGGAAGTTTTTCCTAATCCCCAAGATAAACCTCCCATGCTGCAATACTTCTGCTCCTGTCATCAGAGGTTAAGCAGAATAATTTTCTTTGGGTATGGCTCCACTACAGCATTATTTCGAAATAACACGTCTATACACAAAATGCATTTCGAAATAGCTTTTTGCTATTTCAAAATAGCACGTCCACACTGAGTGGACTGTGAATCGCATTTAAGACTGGCTGGAACCAATTCTGGCAGGGCACCAGGTCAGGACTTACCTTGTGTGGCTGCTGCCTGAGGCTAACTGAGGTCTGTGCATAAAGGGCTCCCTCCCCCTGTCCCCGGACAGCCGGTTCTCAGGTTTCCCTGCTTGCTTGTCTACATTGATGATGTCAAATAAAATGCATGTTTTTTCACAAACACAAACTGTCTTTATTTAACAAAACTGGGCGGGGGGGGGGGGAAAAACTGGGGGTACCTTGTGTGGCTGCTGCCTGAGGCTAACTGAGGTCTGTGCATAAAGGGCTCCCTCCCCCTGTCCCCGGACAGCCGGTTCTCAGGTTTCCCTGCTTGCTTGTCTACATTGATGATGTCAAATAAAATGCATGTTTTTTCACAAACACAAACTGTCTTTATTTAACAAAACTGGGCGGGGGGGGGGGGAAAAACTGGGGG